TATTACCAAATTCTTTTTTTTGTGAAGAGTACACCCTGCAAAATATATGATTATGTCGGTATGGTGAGAACCATGTTGAAAAGTTAGCGGAGTTACTAACTTTTATAACTCGGGCTAACTCAGGGCTCCGACTTAGCAAACTTATAAGTGCGCCAACACATTATAACATGTTATAACCTGTTATAACCTACTTACAACATATTTATAACCTACTTAAAACTATTGATAACTCTTATAACAGGTCAATTCCTTCAGGTGGGCGAAAAATTAAACATACCCCCGCATTGCTCCAACCATATTCAGAAGCATGTTTTTTTCCTCTGCGAGCCAGTGGGCAGGACCGAGGGCGGCGACAGTTAGCCGACATGCGCACACAGATGTGCGACTCAGATGTGGAAGCGCAGCGGGTCGAAAAGCAGCGCGGAAAACATCGTCCCAAGACTATGTTTTGACTATTTTTGCATACTCCTCCTCTGGAGGGTGCTTCGGGCGCCGCTGCCGTTCCAGAGCGCTCCGGGACGCCGCGGGAGCTCGTGGCACGCCCTGGAGCGACCCGTCTCGATCCTGGGCATGCTCGGCAAGGTGGGCTCCGGTCGGCCGTGTCCTCCCTCCATGCGGGTTTTGGACTAACATCTCAGGCATCGTCAGCGAGATACCCAGCTGGGGCCAGACACAGTCGAGGCATCGCCCCCGAGCTGTCTCTGGCCTGTTCTTGGGCTAGTTCTCCTGCAGACCCAGACCCCCGACGTAATGATTTTTTCATTACGTCGACCCCCAGAGGTCCCGACCCTTTCCCCATGACCGGCTTTGCATCCTGAGTCGTTTTTTGACGCTCCCGAGGCCTGGTGAGGGGCCCCGGAGGCCGAAAATTAGGAAAAACCTCCCGTCATGATTTTTTCATTACCCGAGGGGGTCTGGGGAGGGGCGTGCCCGACGGAAGGGTCGGCCAGGAGGGTCGGAGGACGCCGCGCCGCGCCGCCGACGCGCCAGCGACGCCGGGAGGGAGGGAGGCCGGAGGCGCCCGCGGGGGGGGCGCAGCCGGGGGGGTTTTCTCATGGCCCGGGGCACGCGCGCGGCGCCGAGGGACGTGACGTGCTGAAGCGAGGCGAGGGCGCCACGAAACTGGAGGGGGCCCAAGAGGTCACGAACCCTGACCTTCCAGGAGGGCTAAAAAATAGCACCCGACCTCTAAACCTATCCCAGAGCTATTCTACGTCTTGGTTTTAGGCTGTTTCGTTGAGTTTTTTAGGCTTTTAGGTCTCCAGTGCTAAAAAATAGCTCTCTGGGAGGTCAGGGAAGAGGTCACCGAGCTGGGGCCCAGGCGGCCCCGGAGGCCCCAGCGGGCTGGAGAGGGAGCCTCGAGCGGCACCGGAGAGAGCCACAGGACGGTCCAAGGGAGCCCCCATGGGGAGCCCGAGGGGGCCACCCGGGGATATTCCTACATGGTCGGGGGGGGTCGCGCCGCGTCGCCGAGGCCTCGGCGACGTCGGGCGGGAGCTGCCGGCGGCGAGCCCGGGGGGGGGCGAGCGAGGGGGGAGAGGCCCTCGCAGGAGGCGGGGCTGCGGCGCTCGCGGTGCAGGCTTCGCGGAAGCCCGGTGGCCTTCCGAGCCTGCTGAAGAGCCGCCATCCCCAGACCGCCTCGGGTAGTGGAAAAATCATGACGTGAGGTTTTTCCTAATTTTCGGCCTTTGGAGGCCCTAACTGGCCCTCGGGACCGTCAAAAAACGACTCAGGATGAAAAACCGGTCCCGGGGAATGGGTCGAGATCTCTGGGGGTCGACGTCATGAAAAAATCATGACGTCGGGGGTCTGGGTCCCTCGGACGCCTGGTGGCTCTTGGGTCACAGCTTCAGGTCGGGCCTGTCCCCCAACAGGGGGACTTTCGACGAACGAAAAAAAAATACCCCCAGAAATGCCCCCCCAAAGGCCAAAGAATACTGACCAAATAGTCCCCAGAGTATTTTTGGACTGTCGGTTGGGCACCTTCCCAGACCCCCGACGTAATGTTTTTTTCATTACGTCGACCCCCAGAGGTCCCGACCCGTTCCCCATGACCGGCTTTGCATCCTGAGTCGTGTTTTGACGCTCCCGAGGCCCGGTGAGGGGCCCCCGAGGCCGAAACTTCGGAAAAACCTCCCGCCGTGATTTTTTCATTACTCGAGGGGGTCTGGGTTTGGGGTGCTTCTTATTTCTCGTCGAAGCTCCCCCTGCAGGGGGGCACGCCCGACTTCATCACAGCTCGGCTCTCCGGCGGCCGCTCGGGGCGACTCTGCGCACCTCAGAGGCCTCCTGGATGGGGTCGGAGTAGATGGGGTCGGAGGACCGCGCCGCATCGCCGATACATCGGCGATACATCGGCGATGCATCGGCGATGCATCGCCGATGCACCGGCGATGAGGCGTCGACGACAGCGATGTATCGGCGGCGTCGGCGTGGAGAAAATCGGGCTCCGCATCGAGCCGCATCGTCGATGCATCGGCGATGCGGCGTGATTCTCCGACCCCATCTACTTGGACCCCATTTGGGAGGTCTAGACTCTGCGCACCTCCAGACGCGCCCTCGGGCGAGGCGCGGCCGCTGGAGACAGCGAGGCCGAGGCCGAAGACCGCCGGGGGTTCCGGCGATCACGCCCGAGAGCCTCGAGCCTCGAACCCCAGACCCCCTCGAGCCAGGAAAAAAAATCACGACGGAGGGTTTTTCTGAGTTTTCGGCCTCCGGGCGCCCTCACCGGGCCTCGGGAGCGTCAGAAAACGACTCGGGATGCAGAGCTGGTCCCGGGGAAAGAGTCGGGACCTCTGGGGGTCGACGTAACGAGAAAATCATTACGTCGGGGGTCTGGAACCTTCGACGAAACCGCCCGAACACTTGGAGGAGCCCGAGAAGACATCCGCACCCTGCACCTTCGGGGATCTTCTGCCCCGGGTCGATCCAGGCCTGGGTCAAGCAGGCCCTGCAAAGTCCTGCAGGATCCTGCACCCAAGCCCGGGCCAAGGCGAGGGATCCTGCAAGATCCTGCACCCAAACCCAGGTCAACGCGACCCTGGCCCTTGCAGGACCCTTTGCATTGACCCCCGTCTCGAGGCTCCCGACGGACGGACGGACGCTCAACCTTGCGCGATCCCCAGACCCCCGACATCATGATTTTTTCATGACGTCGACCCCCAGAGATCTCGACCCATTCCCCGGGACCGGTTTTTCATCCTGAGTCGTTTTTTGACGGTCCCGAGGGCCGGTTAGGGCCTCCAAAGGCCGAAAATTAGGAAAACCCTCCCGTCATGATTTTTTCATTACCCGAGGGGGTCTGGGTCGGCCGTTTCCGAAACGTCAGATCGTCCAACATCGACCACTTGCTCGCCGGCGGCGGGGTCGCCGCCGGTCGACGAGGCGCGAAGCCGGAGGTCCAGCCCCCGGGGGCGGCGCGCGGGGGCCGCAGCCCCTCATGTGTGGATGTGCCCCCAGCCCACGGCAGTGCCCACTCTGTAAGAACGGTTTTTTGAAGGCAGATCTGCCTTCAATGTAAGAACGGTTTTTTGAAGGCAGATCTGCCTTCAAAAAATGGTCTAAGAACGGTTTTTTGAAGGCAGATCTGCCTTCAAAAAACCGTTCTTTTGAAGGCAGATCTGCCTTCAAAAAACCGTTCTTACAGAGTGTCCACGAAAACATACGAAGGAGAGAACAAATCCTCTAATACCTGGCGTGGTCACAGAATCCTTGCTCCAGGCCCTCCCAGAAGTCTGAATCCTTCGCGGTGTCCACCCAGCTCGTTGCATCCACGCTGTGGCCGGGCATCCTTGAGGAGCTGGACAATGTCATGTGCCCACCTCTTCGTCGGTCGGTGTTGCCACGGAGGTGTCCACGAACAAGTACGGATGAGAGAACAGATCGCAACACCTGCCCAGACCCCCGACGTCATGATTTTTTCATGACGTCGACCCCCAGAGATCTCGACCCATTCCCAAGGACCGGTTTTTCATCCTGAGTCGTTTTTTGACGGTCCCGAGGGCCGGTTAGGGCCTCGAAAGGCCGAAAAGTTAGGAAAAACCTCCCGTCATGATTTTTTCATTACTCGAGGGGGTCTGGGTCGACAGTGAATGAATACGAATGCCTCGAGGCTCCTGACGCCTCGCAGCTCGCAAAAGGCTGGGGGGGCCTCCCGAGCCTTGACCCTGGGACGGCCCGCTGCCTCCGCCTCCGCCCCCCCGACAGAGCGCCGCCGCCGCCGCATCCGCGACGTCGGAGAGGAGCGGGCAGTGCTCCAGACTTCTGTTGCTGAAGGGGCCCCAGGACACACAAATAAATACACACAAATAAAAATATCCCTCATATTTTCCTATATTTTCTGGGTTTTTGTCTTCGCCCCCACTTCCCATCTTTTCCCATATTTTCTGGGGGATCGACGATTAATTGTGTCTGTGTGTTTTTTCCCCTCCTGAGTTGCGCCCATCGTGCTTGAAAAACCACATCCCAGAAATAACTCCGAGCACCCGGAGTGGTGTCGAAAGAGCGTCGAAGCAGTGTCGGACGAGTGCCTCCCGGGGCCCGGCGCGTGAAGACCCTCGAGTTTCGGTACTTTTCTGGCGCTCGGTTGGAAGCCGGTCCTCGACACTCGAGGCGTCACCCTCGGGGCTGAAAGCTCGAAAAAGTCACCCTCGGCACTCTTCTGGCGCTCGGCGCCGGGTTTCGGTACTCTTGGGATCGAGGCCGAAGCCGGCTGGCACATCACCACTCCAGGCCTCGCCGCGCCGCCTGTGCACCGCGGGGCGCCTCTCCACTCGGTGGCGCGCCCTGGGGAGGGGGCGGGGGAGCGAGAAGGGGCCGCCCTCCTCAGAAGGCCGGGACTGGGTCGGCGGCGGCGGCGGCGTTTCGTCATCCTCGCCCTCGCCCTCGCCGCCCTCGTCGCCCTCGTCGTCCTCGTCGTCGCCCTCGTCGCCCTCATCGTCGTCGCCGTCGTCGCCGCCGCAGCCGCCGCCGCCGCCGCCGTCGTCGCCGCCGCCCGCGGCCTGGGGCGCTTGGCCGCTGGCTCGTCGCCCATCCGCGGGCAGGCAGGCGCGGGCCCCCCGAGGCGAGGGCCAGGCGCCCCGAGGCGAGGCGAGGCGCGCGCGCGAGGCGCGAGGCGCGCGCGCGGCGCGCGCGCGGTGGCCCGTGGGGCGGCTCGGGCCACGACGACGACGACGACGACGACGACCACGACGACGGCGACGACGAGGACGACGACGAGGACGACGACGACGACGACGACGACGGCGACGGCGACAGCGACGACGACGACGACGACGACGGCGACGGCGACGGCAACGACGGCGACGGCGGCGGCGGCGGCGGCCCCTGCCCGCCGCGGGAGCCGAGAGGGACGGGGCCTCGGAGGCGACCGCGCTGGAGAACTGCGAGAGCTGCGCCCCGGCTGCGCCGCCCCTCTGAGAGGTCTTCCGAGCCTGCCCCGAAGACGTCGGAAACCTCTCAGAAGGTCGAAAGGCTTCTGAGAAGCCCCGCCACCTTCTGAGTAGGCCTCCTCCTTCCCACTTCCCCTCCCCCGCTCGCCGCCGGCGCCGTCCAGGCCCCGCTCTTACCGGGGGGGCTGCTGGGGCCGCTGGGGGCTCGCGCAGCGCGGGGCCCTCCATTTTTACAATTTTTCGACGGGGGCGGCCCAGGCTCGACGCCTCAGGCAGCCGTGGGTTTGAGGCAGCACCGCATTCATGGAATCTTGCCTGTCCTTCTCTGGAAGTCCAGGTTCCACTCCAACGCGGACTGGTGCATAGTCCCCCACGGACTGTGCAGCGTACCATGCCTGGGCCGAGAATCCAGAGGCGCCTCGCGAGACGCCAGCGCGGTGGTGTGCACACAAGTCGCCCGCGGCGCTGGCGCTGCGGCCGCGTCCCTCCTCGAAATGAATCCAGCCACGCAGACGTCTGCCAGGATCTAAACCCTTGATCTAACATGTGGGTGAGGGGCAGAAGCGCCTCCATCTCTACAGGCTCTAACTACGTCGTACTTAGTGAAACTAATATTTCTTGATGCCCCCGCCTCCACCCTCAACCGTCCTGGTCATACGCCCCCGCCGCCCTGGCGCTGCCGTCCGTGGTGGCTGGTGCACTCTCCGCCGCGCCCCCCTCGCCGGGTGGGCCGCATGGCATGGCGCTCCATGCTGCCCGTGGGGAAATCAAAGGTACCGATACCGCTGCTCCCCCGACCTCTCCCGGGGTGCGTTCTGACCCGAATGTCGAGGCGAGTCCAGCGGTGGCGACGAAGACCTCACAGGAGGCCCAAGAAGGTAAAAAAGAGGCAAGGGTAGCGGTATCGGTGCCTCTTCCTGCTTTGAGCTCATCGGCTCCCCCCATTACGCCTGCCAAGTACCGAACGAGGGCGGAACTCCCTGGAATTAGCTGGTAGCCACAGTATGGTGGCGAACCCACTGGCAAAGAGAGACAGATCCCAACGGGCCGCCTCGGAGGCTGGCTTCCCGCTTGATGTTGCCGTCCTCACGGCCCGGTGTTGCCCTTGAGGGGCCCTTGTGGCCAGGGGATAGGCCCTCGCTGATCCGCGGAAGGTTCGAAGGTCCCCGAGGGAGGGCGGAAGAGAAATCATGAGGAGGAGGAGGGGAGGAGAAGGAGGAGGAGGAGGAGGAGGAGGAGGAGGAGGAGGAGGAGGAGGAGGAGGAGGATGGGACGAGCACGAGCTAGCACCGGCCCGGCGAAGAGGGAGAGTCCCCAACGGGCTGCCCGCGTCACCAAGCCACCGATCGCCTCCAACGCGTCCATGGGTCGCCTACAGCTACCAAAGCGAGCAGGACACATGGAACGCCAAGGTGTGCAGCTTGCCAGCTTGGACGGGAAGGCAACAGCGTGGGACGACCCATGCCACGCACAACTAACCACGGGATGGAAGCGAGCTCTATCATCCCAGAACGACGAGTGCTCCTACGGGGGCAAAGGACACACTGCATAAAATACCCACGCATCGCGACGCGGGACCGCGTTCAACCTGCCACCGCCAGCACCCCCACCTCCGCAGCGGCCGAGATCGAGATCGCCACAAGCACGCTCAAACAACGTAGACAGATCGGTCGTGGAAACTACCATCAAGAGGTACCAGAGCGAAACCAAATTCAGGGACGACGTGGAGAACACAAAGAACATGCTCAACTTCCTCGACAACGACAACATGGTAGAGATGGCAACGAACGACAACCCTCACGGACGACTATTGACCTTATAATATACTGCTCAACAACCAGAACGATAACCTGACCACGCAGGAGAGCGTCCTACGGATCATTGGCGAGATCCAGGCCGCTCAGCCACAGCACAATCCAAAACACCGTCCAAACGACCACCTCGTAAAGACGACGAGCTACCCACCGTCACAGCCACTTGGGCCCCGTCAGCAAGTAGAATCGACTACCAGCCACGCGACAGCCTCCCCAATGCGACAGGACCCATGAACACCCAGGCCGATAGCAACACCACCGACCCCAAATGACAGCATCAACACACTGGCCCCAACACGAGAGCCACGATACAAGGCATCTCCTGCGGCATCCCAGCTGTACTCGTACCAATTGCAAAACGCTGACCAAAGAGGAGGTCACACAACGGGTAGACCGAACGAGCAACGCATCCCCTACCAAGAGCAAGAGGTGCCATCACAGCCACCATCAACGACTCCGCCAAAAAGCATAGGAGCGGCGGCGGCTAGCATCACAACCAATACCTCGGCGACTCCCTCGACCACGCAACCAGTGGTCAAAATCAGCGCCAACATCATCCACAACTTGGCCTCAGTATTCGATATGACTCCCCCACCGACAGAACGAACCACCAGGCATGCGATCGGGGAATAGCCAAAGCGAACGACATCAGGATCTGACCGATCGCTTGACCAACAACATCAAAACGATTCCACACGGCACCGAATCCAGAGACTTCAAGATCAAGACTCACACCATTATCTCAAACTACTTCGAAAACATGGGCAACGCGAACAACCGCTACGACCTGGACATCGGGGCAGACGCTGATACACGTCTCGAGTATGACCTGGTCATGTACTGCGTAGAGGCATCGCTGAACAACGGCTTCCCGTACGACGGACAACGAGAGGCGCGACTCTTCCACATGACCGAGCGTCAGACCCACTTTGCCCAGTTCGCCAACCACCAGCTGGAAGTGATGACGACCTACGGTTTGCCCACGGTGCTGACCTACAAGATCGACGACGACTCAGACGAGATACCTGCACCACACGCTATTACTACGCTTTGACTACACAACGGCGGAACATACTCATGTCAATCAAGATGGCCATACGTTACAACCCGACCATCATCCCATCGCCATTCCCCTTTACGCGGTTCCAGAGCATAACCGCGACAACAGCCATGCAAAAGATAACCAAGCTGATCAACGCACAGGACCCACAAACAACTGACCCAGCCAATGACGGCAACAGAGAGCAACCAGAACCCACCTAGCCACAAGCGCAATCCAACCTTGCCAACCCCAACTCCGACTCAACAACCGACTGCTAAACCGACCTGCCAGATGTCCAACAACGGAATGACCCACCTCAGCACGTACAACCGACACGGACAGATGAACACAACCAGATCCAGGAGCTCCCAAGCCACAACAAGTGGGTACCCTTGGCAGAACTCTCAACGATGCCGCAACACCCTTGCAACCAACAAGCATGCTTCAAAGAACCAACGACCCGACAATCTCACCATGGGAGCCTCACGGGAGAGACCGACCTGGGTCGGGTTACACACGCAAGCAACTACCAACAACCAAACCGCGATGCGACGCAAACCAAACCGACAACCGACTAGCACGACAACAACCAGGCCCACGACGAGGGCACATGCGTACAAAGAAACCAAATCAAACGGCGGCTCCGCTCCCTGGGCACCCTGGGACGTTGAATACAAGCAGTACCGCAAGGACCATCAGCCCGACCAAGCCACGGCACATCAGGAGAATCCCCCCTGATTGCGCACAACCAAAAAGCTATCGCCTCTAGATGGGACCGGCGTTAAAGCGGCCCGTTAAAGCGCCAACCTCCTCCCCACGTAACATGCACAACAGATTTGTCCAATTTTGCTCCACGACAGACAGGATACGTTACACCAGCTGCTTCATTCCGACTCCGTATTTCTGCACCATCATGTGGCCAAAAAGTACGCACGCACCGACAGGATCAGCACCAACACAGCTGGTCGTACTATCTCCAGGCTCACCCTCCGACGGCAGCAGAGAAAACGGACTCTGACGGGTCTCAGCACACAGCGACGACGTCAACAACAACTATGCTACGCAATGGTTGCCGATGGGCATTCTGACCCACAAGCTATGCTAGCTTATCCGACGCGTCAGCAGTGATACGGTCTCAGCATGCGTCGACAACGTCAGCAGAAGCTATGCTACCTGGTGGGTCCCTGCGGGGCATTCTCACCCACAAGCTATGCTACTTCACCCGACGTGCATGCTGAAATAAGGCCTCCGCCAACCTCCATCCTTCCCTACCTCCTGGCTTCCTTCTCGCAGCCCCTTTCCCCCCGCTGTAACTCGCTAGCATCGCTTCACCCTCCCTCTTGTGGCGACGGGACGGTGTGGGGTTATCGGGGGAGGGACGAACAAACAAAGGAACCCGCCACAAACCCACGCGGCAAACGCCGGTGAGGCCGTGGTCAGCTTGGCCGCAAACTCACCACACGCCAGCTGCATGCACGCTCTGGTCTGTTTCATGCAGGCTCTGGCAATTACCTCTCGTCCCACCTCCACCTACTACTGTTGGGTCGGGCATGTCTCTCTACAGGGGGGTTTTGGGCGAAAAAATAAAAATACCAGAAAGATGCGACAACATAGCAAACAAATGCTCAACATGTCGTCCCCATAATATTTTCAGACTATGTTTGAATATTCCTCGTGTAGAGGGACAAACCCGACTTAATACTACTGCTCTCTTTGCAACTGCAACAGCAGTCGCGACTAATGTCCGCCTGCCACAACCTTTGGAAGGGGGGTGGGCTTTATGTTCGGGGGGGAGGCGCCACCTGGACTGTGCCGCCGCCGCGGGGGGCAAAAGCCTCAATCGCGCGCGGTGGAGCTCCCCCACGCGGCCCCATCCTCCACGATCTGGGTACCCTTAGGTCGGGCGCGTCCCCCATACAGGCGGATTTTATACGAAAAATAAACATAGTCAAACATATCCAACATATGCCCAATGATAATCAACTCAGCGTCCCCAGACTATTTTTTGACAATTTTTGAACATCCCTCCTGTAGAAGGACAGGCCCGACTGAAGACCTAGGCCGCGCCGCCGCCACGGGGAAGAGAAACCTCCCCTACGCACGGTTGAACTCCCCCAGGCGGCCCCAGCCTCTACGATCTGGGCACCCCACTCTCCTGTCTGGCAAGGGAGGGTGCGGTGGGGGCGCGCATGAAGAAGCCATCTGCTACTCGTCAACGCATCCTGGGTCTCTTCGCTCCTCGCGCTGCGCGCTGACTTCCCGCTGTCGTTCAAAGAGGCTGCTGCGTTCAAGGTGCCCTCGGGTTTTCCCTCGGGTGCACCTCGCGCGCGGGTTATCAAGGTTGGGTTTCCTGCGAAGGTCTCTCGCGGCCGCGTCCGCACTGTGCCAGTCGTGCGGCTTGGGGACGGAAGAAGAGGGTGAGTGAACCACATTGAACTACACCCTGCGAAATGCTTAAGAAATCATGGGTTAAGAAATTCATAGTCTCAGAACTTGAATAAAAACCCAACGTTTCCATTAAAATCTTAAGATTTACATTGAAACGTTAAGAATTATCGAGACTCTGCCAGAAAACTTGAGTTTTCTTAAGCATCGCCTAAGGTGTATGATGTAAACCCACAAAAGTAACCTTAATCCAGAGGGTGAAAGGCGCTCAAAAGGACTGAGCTGCATGATCTCCAAGGCCATCTCACAGGATGCCCTCATCAACGTAGCGCGTGCTTGGAGGGTGGGGGCCTGAGCGAGAACACTCCATCCGCTCTTGGCCGTGACTTTGGGAGCACTCGTCCACAAGAGGGCGTCGAGAGCGAACTGCCTGGAGATGGCGCGCCGCTCGCTTGCGTAGAGAAGGGCGTTTAGCCCACAGGTGCCTGAAAGAGGGCCAGAGGTGTCCGCAGTGGGGACACGGGCGGCCTGTCTGCCTTCGCGTCTCAGACGACACAGCTCCTGAGAGAAAAAAACCCAACCGTACTATGTCGCCCTCGGACAAGGATGATCTTCACATTGAGAACTTCTTGCTCGACATCACTTCAACCTGCACCTCCTCGATGGACTCGGAGTCGTGCCTGGTGCGTGTCACCGTCTGGAGATACCTTATTCGCGCAATCCGTCTGAGAGCGTGAACAACTCTCTTGGCGTACCTCTCATCCCAGCCAACACAGGCCCAGAAACGAAAGGTCCCCGCAAGACACAATGATTGTACAGCTCGAAACACCCGGTGATTATCGATAGGTGGGATCTCCATCAGACAGCCACGAGCTTCCGAGACTGGATGAACTTGGCGCCCAGCTCGGCAGCATGTCTTGACAGAGAGAAGTGCAAGAACCCACTCCACGTCAACTTGGGGTCCGTGATGCTGACTAAGGCCCGCAAGGCCGCTCCCAGCACTGGATGCAACTGTATACGTTGGCACCACCATCGTCCATGGCACCACCACTTTGTCTTCGTTCGCACGATAGCATTGTGCAGGAGTCGTGCGACTGCGCTTCGTACAGGGGCGACAATCGGCGTCGCCCACAAAAAGAAAAAAGGTCGGATGTATGGTATCGCCAGCCTCTCAGGTATAGGTCCCGAAGTACTGATAGCAACAAACACTTGGTCCCAGCCCCTCCTGGGGCCAATCGGATACTCCACATCAGTACGCCGGCACGTCACTCCAAGATGTTCCACCAGGGGTACAGGATCATCCACAGCGTGGCATACCTGTCGCTTCTTCACATTCTCTTTGGAACCAATAGCCTGGTCGAAGTTGGATGTGACCACGAGGTCATCGTTCACGAGGCCGGCCGAACAAATCGTGATCGAGCGATCGTCCATGTAGGCGATGCCATTGGCAGGTTGCCATGGGGCGAGGTTGGGGGATGCGATTTCCTATGCGCAGGGGCAGACAAACAGCATTGTACCACAAGCTAGCAGGTGGGCCTGGTTCGCTCGTGCGTCAAATCGTGCACCGCCCAGATGGCGCGCCAAACACCTGGGTGGAACGCCAACGTCGCGGCTGGCCGAGACAGCAATGGACTTCAGAGATGCACGAACTCAGCCTACATATCTGGGCCAACTTCTGCTATATCCTTTTCTCTCCTCACCCTCCTGTTTTCCAGCGCGAATTCTGTGGTGCCCTGTGAGACGAGATTCGTCTTCGTGTTTTCCCTTCCGGCGACCCTGAGCGGTTGCCGTGCCAACGCGCCCTGCTGGATGTACGGTTTTTGCGGTGGTGGTCGAACCCTTCTGGCCCTTTTGCTCCTCCTCCTCCTCCTCCTCCTCCTCCTCCTCCTCCTCCTTCTGCCCTTCCGCTGGGCGAGCGTGGCTGGCCCCGCCGCCGCGCTGCCCCCTGGGGAGTGCCCGAGCCTCCCCCGCGCTCGGTGGCACCCCCCCAGCGCGGCCCCGAGGTCGCCGTGCTGGGACCCCCACGCCCGCTTGCAGGCGAGGGATCCCGCCGTCGGCCCTGGGGACGCCCGCGGTGGACTCCCGTGAGCAGAGGAGAAGAGGCCCTTTGGGCCCTGCCCCCTGCTGCAAGCGGCACAAACAACAATTCCAGCGGAATAGTTTCCGCAGCTGCGCTTCTCACTGGGCGCCGACGAGCCCACTCCACCGCCACCTCCACGGCCTGCCCGTTTTTTTCCACAGCCAGCCTGCCACTAGACGCGCGCTTTCCTCCCGCCTTCTGTCTTTTGGTTGCTCCAGGGATGCAGCACCCACGGTCCACTGACAGCAGAGGGCGCCCCAACTAAAGGGGGCCCTGGGCACCGTCCAGGGCGGTGGCGCAACAAGGCCACGTGACCCGAAGGAGAGAGGACCATACATTGTTCCTAGGGCCTCACATCGGTCTCAACCTGCTGCCGCCACTCTCTTTTCACCAGCCACCTATCCCACCTGCTCGTTGTGATTGATGTTATGCTGGATGTTTGATGTTCTCTCTTCTCTCCCTCATACCTGTTTGCTTGCCACGTTTACATCTACTTACCCTCAGCTTGTTCTACTCCCCCCAAGGCTGGCCAGACGGCCAGCCCTGACGGAAGCGGCAGCGTGCGAAGCACCCTCATGAGAAAATCACGGGATCAGGAGGCGGAGGCGGCGGAGGAGGAGGAGGAGGACGAGGAGCAGGATGAGGAGGAGGAGGAGGAGAAGGAGGAGGAGGAGGAAGAGGAAAACGATGAGGAAATGGAGGAGGAGGCAAGGCAAGGCAAGGCTAGGGAAGGCAACGCTAGGGTGGTATCACCTGCGCCTACTAACTTATGATACAAAATCACAGCCGCAACGGTTGGCTTTGCAGGTGGAACGCACACGGGCCTCGACCCGCCTTGAAACTGGAATGTGCCATTGAGGGGGGCGATGGCACCGCCATGCTCTCTCAGTTAACCCCCGTTGGCCAACGAACCAGGACGTTTCTTGCCATGTTGTTTTCGGACCTGTGGGCGCGAAACCGACCCCCTCGGCTCCTGAGACACTTTTCTGTGCACAGAAACATCTTCTGAGAGCGCGAAGTCTTGAGGGATGGAGGAAGAGGGAGCAGCGGCAGTAGCAGAGCCCGGGGACGAGGACAGGTGGGATAATTCTCCACGCTCAAGCAAGGCCCTACGGGCCGAAGTTTGAAAGATTGCAGGCGCTACGACGCCTCTCCCACGAGGCACTCTGCTTCCCGCTGGCTCAAGTGGGAGACGGCTCAGAATCCCTCGATCTCGCTGAGCTGGCTCCTCAGGTCCACTCCCCTTCCTGGCTCAAAACTGCATTTGGGGTCGCCGTTGCGGTACCTCGATATCGCTGAGCTGAAAGCTCAGGCCCACCCCCCTTCCTGACTCAAAACTGCGTGGGGGTCACCGTTGCGGTACCTCGATCTCGCTGAGCTGGATCTTCCAAAACCACTTTCTTCGTGACTGGCTCGGACAGGCTGCAATCTACGACCACTCCCACTCTCACCGCTCATGCCACGAGCAGCGGTACGATCACTCACAATCCCTTCGCTCATGCCACGAGCTGGTCCATCACTCGCAACCTCTTCGCTTATGACACGAGCTGCTCCAACATCTTCGCCGCGTCTCTCTCCAGAGATCCCCGCGGGTCTGGTCCATACTTCAGCCGGCCAGCCTTGTTGAAATACTTGATCAGGGGCGCCTCCTGGTCGCAGCGCCTGTGGTCCACACCGAAGGTCAAGCGCAGCTTCTCGCCCTTCGATTCCTGCTTGCGCGTGGTGCGCACCCGGCAACGTCGCACCTGGCCGAGCAGCTCGATCACCTGCACCCGCAGGACCACCTCCCGCCAGTACTTTTCGAACATCGTTTTCACGTCCGCGCCCGTCTGCAGGTCCATGCCCACTGCCTTGATGAGGGCCGTCCAAACGTGGACGAAAGGCGGCCCCAGGGACTCCATCTCGACCCCAGGGACGGCGGCCCCAAGGACTCCTCTGGACCCCCTGGTGGTAGGAGGCTCCCGCCTGCTTCGCCGCTGCGACTGCGATTTGCTCCGCGCCGACCAGGAACGTAACGAACACCGCTCCACATTCGTCGTGGAGCTCTGCCGCGATAGACAGGCTCAACTTTGTGAGCACCGCGACGCGGTTCTTGAGCAAATCTCCACCCTTTGGACTGGTCGGCCAATCGCCTCTTCTTGTCCTCGCGCTCGCTTGCCTCGGCGGGAGAGGCGTCCATGGCCGTGCCCAGGGAGCGCTCGAACAACTCCGGGTGGCCCAGGAAGGTGCTCACGCAAGTGCAACTGGAGTTGAACATAATGGCCACCAGCAAAGTCACATGGCGGGCAGTCGACCAAAGCAGAGGGGCACAACCGAACAACGATGGCGAACAGCAGCAACCTCGCAGAACCCCTTCGTGAGCGAGAGCTCTAGATGCCGTCGAGACGTCACGCGACTCGATAACACCGTGCGACACCAGCAGCACTCATTAGATGTATGCAGAGAGCGTGCCCTAGCTCACGGCACCCAAGACGAGCGATGATATAAGTGTCGGCTCCCCGTTTCTTCTGGGAAGTAGGCCCCGCACACCGTCGCATCAGCATTGAGGAAGCAACATCGATACACACAGCCTCGAGCAAACACACGTGGAAGATCATGAGCAGCAGCAAGAGCATGCGATTCAACAGGGGAAACTTGTTCCGACAGAGACTGGCTCCGAAGCTGTCGCACATCGACTTTCACGGCATCCTCGAGAATATGTGGGTCCGATAAAAAGGGGAGCTTGAATTGGCCTCCGAGAAAAGTCATCAAATAACCCATCTACCCTATCACATACATCACCTCTAGATCCTCCCAAGCTCGTGGGCCCGGGGATTAGCCAGCGTATCAAGTTTACCTGAGGGGGAGAACGTGGGGCAGAGGGCAGGGAGCCGAAGAGAGCAGCAAGGACCTGCTTGTGACAGGCGGAATGCCTCAGGAACTCTTGGAGATACCTAAGGCGACGGATCCGAGCCTCGAGCTCAATCGGTACAATGCGCCAGTATTTCAGCACAGCCTCGTTACTGAGAGAGGCAGGGTGGGACGAGTCAGAAAAAAAAACGCAAGCTTTGCATCGCATCGCTTGAGGGGGAGGAGGAGGAGGAGGAGGAGGAGGAGACGGAAACGGAGACGGAGGAAGGGGAGGAGGAGGAGGAAGAGGAGGAGGAGGAGGAGGAGGAGGATTTTTTGACATCAACATCAAGGATGAGTGCCCGCCCAGACAATTAGGGCAGGCAGGCTGGCCAGTGCCAGCAAAAGAGAACTAACACCTGAAGACAGAGGAAGGCAGGAGGCCACATAGACATCTCCAGCTGGCTGGAGGATTCCCCGTGGCCAGCTGCGTCTCCCCCAGGCGTTAGTCAGAACTAGAGTCGCCCTCGTCACGATGCGGCAGCCTCGAAACGAGAGGGGCCTCGTCTTCTTCCTCCCGAAGAGTGGACGAGACACCTTGCGACACGATGCCTGAGGCCTGAGACTGAAACGGCGAGTCACGAGGCGGACCGCTCGCCGCTGCCAGTAGGCGCCGTGCGATCGCAGCACGGCGTCTCTCTCGTGCCCCCTCCTCCTCCGAGGCCGAGGTGGGGGGGGGGGGGCTCAGACGAAGGGGCGGGGACCTCCTCCTCCTCCGCGTCTGGGACAAAACCAAAAGAGTGGCTGCCCCAGGGGCCGCGTTCCATCGTGACCTCTGGGCGCTTAGGGTGGCGCCCTCAACGGATCAGTCCCCAATTGTTGTAAAAAGTTGACCGAGTCGGTCCAAGGCATCTGCCTCCCAGTCCTGCAACTCTGCCATGGGACGAGTAGCAGAAACACTTCGTGCAGACTACCAGCGACGCCTGGCCAGAGCAAGACAACGCGATGCAAGAGCGGCCCCTTTTTTCCAGCGCACCAGACCCGAGACCCGCGATCGGCTTACAACGAGGAGCGCCCGGGGACGGGCCGTAGGTGGACGCGCGACTAACTCTGCCACAAGTCGTGCATTTCCAGAAGCCTGGGGGTGCGGCCAACTGCGCAACCTGAATAATCGTCCACTGGCATCTAACAGGCGTCGAAATCACAGAAAAAGAGACCGACGGCTTAGTCCAGGAAGCTTCGCTGAGATCGAGGCGTGGCCAACTAGGAAGCACTTTCGCGGCTAGCTGACACACAGCACGGGACATTTTGATATCAGGATCCAGTCTAGCAGTGTCATCCGCAGACGGCTGCGGGTGACCCAAGTAGCCTTCACCGCCAGACGCCTTTGCGGCACCGACATCCGCAAAATGGTTCCCAAAACGGCACATCTTATCGAATTCAGAGGTCCATTCATCGAGCGATTGATGCGCCTTGACTTTGTGGAGAGCGTTTACCTTCCACATTTCATGCAACAGAGACAGAGCGAAACCACTATAGCAGCGTTTCGGAGACAGCTGGTCCAAGGGTTGCAGAGAAAAGTGATCCTTGATCAGCTGCGCATCAGTATAGGCTTGGCAGAAGGCGGCAAATTCACCTGCAGGGGCTGACTGCGGGCATGTCGGCGGAACAGGACCATGCATCATGGCACGCAAGTCGCCAGACTGGTCAACAACGGCAACGCACCATCCAGCACGCGAAAGCTCGCGCACCGCATGCCTTAGGGCGCTCCCGTCAGTGAGGATATGCCCGCAGAAATCGAAACTCTGGGGGTCCTGGGGTGGTGGGTGGGTGGTGGTGGTGGTGGTGGTGGTGGTGGTGGGGGGGGGGGGGGGGGGGGGGGGGGGGGGGGGAGGGGTGGGTGGGGTGTGGGGGGGGGGGGGGGGGGGGGGGGGGGGGGGGGGGGGGGCCCTTCAGGAGCAAAGAAGATGGCTGAGGGCTCCACAGAGGGCTTGGGAACATAATCCCCAGGGTGCGCCAAGGCCCCGAAACAAGACAGCACGCTACCAGGCTCCCGCAAGGCTCTCTCGATGACTTCTGGCTCCACAAGGCACTCCCGAAGCTCCTGGGCGTCTGGGCAACGGCAGACCCAGAGGCAGTGGTGGAGGGTGTCAGGGGCGGTGCCGTACTTGTCGCACGTCACGCTGACATCGTGCCCGAGGTCCCTGGCTTTTTGACGAGTCCACGCCGCATTGGTGGCGACAGCCCTGATGCAGCCCTTCTCGAAGGCCGAGGCCCGTTTGCTACGTAGAGAATGTTTGACCACGTCGAAACAGAGACGATGAGGAACATCCCACTTAGCAACTGCGTCCCACTGGAATCCACGAAACACAGCAGCCCGAAGGTGGAGGCGCATAAGCTGGGGAGAGATGTGGGTCAGGGAGAGGATCGCCCCTTGGTCCGTTACAAAGGTGGCGAAGTCCCTCATCGCCCAGGAGATCCTCTCCAAGGACTTGCGCATGGCGGCGACGGGGCCTCCGACTGCACGCCGCGAAAATGATTCATTTAGAAAAACACCTTCCCAAGCCCGCCTCAGCTCCCTGAAACTGAGCGAGCCTTCAAAGGCCCGAACTTGGGCGCACCAAACCTCCTTGTGCCAACGTAAAATCGGGGCAACAGAACCGATCCAAGCGGGGTCCCCTTCCAAATGAGACAAGACCATCAGGGGGGCGTTGGCCAGCTGGGGGCTTGATGGTGCTCGCCGCCGAGCGGCGCAAGTGGAGGAGCCCGCGGTCCGTGACCCCGCGCACCTCGCTGCCGTAGAGCGCGCCTGGGAGAGGTCCTGCCGTGAAGACCCTCAGGGTACGTCGAGATCCTAGGGCAGAGCGAAGGTTGGCAACACGGCGGGCACGCTTCTTAAAGAGCCGAAGTCTAGACTTGAGTTTCACTCCCCCCCCTTTAGTCCTCAAGCTCTTCCCCCCCGTGTCATCAATGCCCAAATTGATGGAACTGTCCGCGATGGGACCCGTGAGCCCCGCTCCGAGAGCAGCCTGAATGGCACGGCCCACGGCCGCCGAAGAACAGACAAGGCTAGATTTGTCCTGCGCCACCTTCCCCCCTATACCATCGACAATGGCCTCATGAAGCTGCGGAGCTCCCTCAACAATCGAACGAACCACGTCATTGAAAGCACCTGCCGCAGACAACCCCGAGTCGTCAATGTACAGGGCCAGGTCGCAACAGGGGCGGAGAACAATCAAATCCAGGGCTTCGATGCTATTCACCCTGACGAGGGTAGTGGCAAGGGAACACCCCGCCACAATCCCCGAGGAGACGAACCACGGACCACCCAGACACCCGCCGAGGGAAGGAAACGAGGGGCCCGATAGGCCCTGATGGCCAGTCTGGCCATGGCGACGGGGAAGTCCAACCTTTCGCACCGCGCAAGCAGACGATCCAGATCGATCAACTCATAGTATTTATACATGTCCCAAAGGAGAGTGGCAACATGTTCCTTCCTGGAGACGCCACTCTCGCTCTTGACACATAGGCGCCACACAACATCGGCGGCCCCTTGATACTTACCAACGGCAAAGTAGGGCCGAGCGTGCTCCCCTTCCCACTTTTCCGCCAAACCCCTTCTCGCTTTCCCCCACAGGCGATGCGGGCTCATGAAAATGCCGATGGGCCTGAAACCTCCCGCCGGTTTGCCCAGCAGGGCCAAGACGGTGGCATCCAGCTGGGCAGGCAACGTGCTAGAGATTTCCATAACCTGGAGGATCCTACACAAGGCCGAAACCCCTGGGACCGAAATCATACTGAAATGTCTCATATGGAAACCATCGATCCCGACCGCCGAGCTCGCCTTGCACATACGAGACAGGCGTATGAGCTCATGGGGGTCGAGGGGAGGGAGATCGGGAGCAGGTTGGGGATCCTTAACCTGCCCAGTCGAGTGCGGGGCAGGAGTAGCTCTCCACAAAACAGTGAACTTGCTCCTCTCCGCGGCGAGCAAGGAGAGCGGGTCGCTGACCACGCAACCGTGAGCTGACAGAGTCGACGTCGGCTTCCACGGCTGGGGCTCAGCAGTGAC